TCCAGCACCGGGGGCTGTCAGTACCAAGCCATGTCCGTGCTCCACCCCGTTCTCCACCACTCCGACCTTCATCAGGCTTTGGAGGAGTCAAACGGAGAGTCTCAGAGAGGATAAAAGCTGTCCAGTTGGCTTTGGATGGTCCCTGCCACAACAGGAATTATTTTTATAATAGCGAGTCGGGTGGGACTTGGAAATCCCACTTGCGCAGTGTTCTCTTAAGCATGGAAACCTCTAAGTACAGTTGCGATGAGTGGGTATTAATGGGAGCAAAGAATCCTTGCGTGTCCTGTTGGTCATATGCAAGGGACAGGGATCGTTTTACAGCTGCCATAATCACAGACGTGAAGGAAGCCACCCATTGTCACAGTCACTGTCCCCAGGGGCATGAAGACTGTTCTGCAAGCAGGGGCTCAAGAAAACCCCATAGAAAATGCAGGTGGAGTACTTTCAGAAAATTGCTTGGCACACAGAAATATCAACCTCTCCATGAGATGAGGGCTGCATCTATACAGAGCCAAAATGGAATCAATTCAGTTGAATCGGTTTCATGGTCAATTCAGTGATTTGAATGTTCTACCCGGTGCTGGTTAATTTAGAAGCAACACAGGGCTCCAAGCACAGGGAGAGGTGGCAGAGCTGTCCCATACTGTACAGAATGGCACGTTTGTTTCCTCTGTACCAGCCCCCCAGGCCCTCACGCCTTCCTCTAGTGGACTTTCTGCTCCTTCTGTGGATATCCCATAGCTGGGTAATGAACAAAAGCAGATTTCATTCTGGGTTGATCGTAAGAACAAACAATAAAATAAAATAATCTTGCCAAATCCCCTTCGACTCTTGTTTTTAGGTTCCCTATTAAGTGGCACAGGCCAGGGGTACCCCACCCCCACCCTGGGGTATTTGGCTTATTCTAGTGATGTCTCTTGCTTCACTCTTGGGGCAGTTCACTTAGGCCTGATTCTCTAAATGACAGATGAGCTGACCCCTTCCTGGCTGGGCCACTGCACCCCATCTGTGGCCAGGACTGGGACTCCCATAGGGACAGTGGGTGACCACGAGTCCGTCTCCTCATCTGACTCATCAGGGCCCACGGTCAAGGAAGAAGCAGCCCTTCCCGGTGGGCCCTCTCTCTGCTCGTGACCCCTGCAGCCTCCTCTGCTTTCCTCTTCTGCATGTGGAAGACTATTTTTCTTAGACGTTTTTTCAAATATCAGTGATCTTTTCCCTAGAATCTTGAATGGTGTTGCAAAGCTTTCTCCTGCAGGTGTCTTCCCATGTCACTCTCTCTTAAGACTCTGAACTGCTGAATCTGCCTCTTCCTCCCATGCCAGGTGGTCTTGCCTGGGTGTGACCTCCCACCTGGTGGCATAACGTGCTCTAAAAATGGCATCACAGAGAAAATATGCAGATAGCGAACACTATTTGTACCATAGCCAAATGTATTAGATATGCCCAAGAAATGACTGCCCCTGCCTGATCACAAAGAGAATTCTAGTTTGGGAGAAAATTTTAAAAGAAGATGTTTCAGTGAGTTTTCTTCAAGTATCCATCATCCCCCCCCCCCCCCCCCACCGCCAAAAAAAAAGGTCTAGTGACTTCCTGCTCTTATCAGCAAGTGATAGAATTCCTCAATCCATCACCATGGAATTAGGCCTGCGGGTCAGATCATCCCAACATTACCCTCTGCGTAGAACTGTCTATTGCAAAGTCAACGTGAGCAGGAGGCATAGTCTGTGATGTCAGGTCACTGTACAACCTTCTCTTCAATGGACTAAGCTGAAGAGCTTTAATAGAAAGATGTTTATGTAAAATAATAATAAAAAGAAAGATTCTGCTACTTCCTACGTTTGCTTTAAAAAAAAAAAAAACTGGGTATAAGAAAACAATGGTCTGTGTCAACCCGAGGATATAATAACACTGCCTCTCTTTCCTTGTTTTAGGGAATGCTGTCGATTTTTTGGAGACAATGGCTTGACTTTGAAGGTGTTTTTTACCAAAGCAGCCCCCTTTGGCGTTCTTTGGACACTCACAAACTACCTGTACTTACATGCAATAAAGAAAATAAACACTACGGATGTCTCCGTGTTGTTCTGCTGCAACAAAGCGTTTGTGTTCTTGCTTTCGTGGATCGTTCTCAGGGACAGGTTCATGGGAGTGAGGGTAAGTTCCTTATTATATGTCTTCTTCCCTCAGTCACGTCAACCAAAACCTGCCCATCGGCTTGCTAAGCTCCCTGTGCTGGACCATGAGCATATGCTGCTGACCACTTTCCTTGTGATTTGCAGCAGAAAAGGAGCCTGGTTCTCGGTGTGCCTTGCAGACCTTCTTGCTTGCAAACCATACTCGACAAGCATTCATTAAAGCACCTTTCATTTCAAGCATTTCAGCAAGCAGTCCCTAAAATGCGTGCCATTTGGGGACCCCACCCAGGAATGGCAATGTGCTCCGCTCTCTGGCTGCTCACCCCTCTCTCATGGGCGGCTTTCCAGTCTGCAGTGTGTGGCACCCCTGTGCCCCGCAGCCTGGAGCTTTCTGCCAGCACTGTCACTCTCTGGTTAGGATGTTTCCAAAACCTGAAGGACCCCTTGGCATCCACGCATGGTTGCGGTCCTGGCCCTTTGCTTGGACCATGTGTCCACAGCCAAAGTGGCCAGACATGGTCCTCCTAAGTCCAAATTGTGGAGGTCACCTTTGCTTTCTTTCTTCTGCAGACGAAGGGAGAGTGGAATTACAGCCTTGAATTACTTGCATCTTACAACTGAGACTTAGTAAATTACACTAAAGACTAGTCAAGTTTAGCTAGTCACATTTCATAACAGTCGTATGAAATAGTATAAATGCACAGCCAAATATCGGCTGAATTATAGAAGGACCCGCCCTGCATGACAGGGACAGGTGGCATTGAGTTTGGACAGAATCCTAGTGGCTTCTGCGTGGCTCCCTCTGGTGGCCAGGAGCTGCTACTGCCCCAGCACCACCTTGCCACAAACCAGGGTGGAAGGTCCTCTGGCCAGGCGGCTGGTTCTCCTGCAGTTACAGTGTGTTGCTTACTTGTTCCTGCCACGCAGCTAACACCCGTCTGGTGGGCACAGTGACCCGTGCCGGCAGCCAGCAAGGGGCAGATTCCAGGCCCTCTGCCTGTGTCTTCCCCCATTGCCCTGGGAAAAATGACATCACCCACCTGGTGGGTTCACTCCACCTCCAGCACTCAAACAGCACAGGGGACATGAGTCAACAGCTGACTTGTATTTTTAGCTTGCAGTTGGGGGAAAATTTGTTTTGAGGCTTAGTGTTAATTTTGGAATAAAAACTCACTCCCTGTGCAACCGCCCAGAAAAGCTTTCAGCAAGGGAATGATGTAATGCATCTTTGCAAGTAATGCAGGTACTTCCAGCAGCGGTCACCCAACAGCCTGCCTGACTCGATGCTGCAGACACAGATGTCCTGGGGGCCGCGGCCACCAACTCAGGCCCCTCATGACTTTATTTTGATGCAAAGAGACAAGAGAATTTGTGGAGCTTTTTGGCACAATTCAGATGTCCCAAGCAAACTCCAAATGAAACCCTGTTACTGGAAAGAGAAGCTTCAAGGTTAGTTCCACATCTAGCAGAAGAAAGAAACAGAAGTTTTTTGAGGTTAAGAGAGGAGGTGTGAAAAACTTGAAATATGCCTGGACTCCTAGAGAGCAATATGGTGCTTCCAGATCTTCTCTTCGCAGCTGTACAAGGATAAGAGCCAGTGCCCTCCCTGGACTCTGATGCACACAGTCCGGCTGTGCTGACCACTGCATACCACACAGTTTTGTGCTTAAGGCCTTCGGCACTAGGCTGGCGCTGAAACAAAGGTCCACAGAGCCAGTGCTGGTGATGGACTTTGGAACTTGCAAACACTGTGCAGCTGTGGGTCTCTCTAATAATCTCTACTCCTGTTAGAGGCACGTGGCTGGTCATCTGGGAGCTCCCTACTGCAGTCCTGGTGGATTTCCCTGTTCTTATCTTTCAGAGTTCAGAGAGCTAGCGACATCTGTGAGACACTAGCCGCTTGCCAGAGTGACTAAAAGTTTCTCCTTGGTTAACAGATGGAGGTTTAGGTCTGAGATAATATCTAACGGGCGCATGGGATCGCTCAGACTCCACCCAGACTGCTGGTTAGCTTGCACCTTCCACTGGGTAATTTCCAAAAATCAAAGAGTGCTAACATGTCCCCCCCCCATCCTGGGGGGCTGAGAATGAAGCTTGAGAGGCGTGCACACGTGAAGAACAGGATGGAGGCTCAGCCTTATGTTTGTGGAACAGATTGCACAGAAGACGTGTTAATAAGGAGGATTACTCACCCCACCTGGACTGCATTTCCTGGAAAACATCCATAGGCCTGGGACCTGCAATCAGATCCAGAAAGAAGCAAATGTATCTTATAATACTGGGGAGATCCCAGCGACTTCTGGCATCGGAGGGTGAGAGGCTGTGGGGTGTCTGTGAACGGAGACCCCGGCCTTGGGTCACCGGTTGACTCTGCAGCCCAGCTGTCCAGGTCGGGGGCTCTGGTGCAGTGCAGGGTGCTCTAGGCTAGAGCAGGTGACTAGGCTGCTCATCTTGGCTCCACTTTCATAAGCTCTTGGATATTGAGCAAGTCACTTAACATCTCTGAGCCTTGGTTACCTCGTCTCTCAAATGGACAGAAGTTACAGCGCATCTTAGAGAAGGGTTTGGAGGATGAGATCAGAGAACACGTGCTGGCGCATGAAATTCAGTAAAAGTTCTCTTTTGCCAACGTGGTTGCTATTAGTATTTCTTCTCACTGGAGGGGGTTGCCGGATGAGCCCAGTCATTTTGTGCACAGCGACAGAGGCGGACAGACACTTAGGGAGGCAGTTCTGTGCGGCAGTAGCAGGAGAATAAGTGGAGCTCTGGGGACACGAAGCCCACCCAGCTGTGGTCCGACTGGGCGAGACCCCCAGCCTCCATCTCGGGGGTGGTGGAAAGTGGGTCCTCTGACTGCTCAGGGCCATCCATAACCACCCATCACAGTGAGGACTTTGGCACTAGGAGGGTTCGGGAGCAGCAGGAAGGCGAGCCGAGCGTCGTCCTCGGGCCCCTGCAGCGCGTCCAGCTGTTTCCAGTCACTGAAATGGTCTGCGTGTTCCAAAAGGGGCCATCCCTGGACAGTCACTCCAGCATCTGGTCCTGACTCCCTTCTGCATGGGGGGCTGTCCCCTGAACCTGAGCCCAGCATGGGGAGCACCCAGAGGACAGGGAGCACCGAGGGTCACAGCCCAGGCCTCTCCCCGCGCTCGGTAATAGGAGGGGTGGATTGATGACCCTCCGTTCCCTCCAAACCCTAAATCCTTGGGTTGGTGAGAGCGGTCCAGGAGCGGGGACGGCAAGTGTCGGAGGAGGGATATTTAAAACTGAGTCAGTTCTTTCCCATTTGCAAAATTGTCCCAAACTGTAAGAATCTAAAAAGGGTCCAAACGGGGTTCTGCCTGGCAGAGAACGTGCAGCCCGCCTCAGTTTTAGCAAGACTGGGGAGCAGCATGGTCTGAAAGGTGACTGGACCTCATCAAAGGTGCCACCGACCCTCCTGTCTCCTCCTCAAGGCTCAGTGGCTTCCCCCACCCTCCCTTCCAGCCTGACATGGGGCGAGGACCAGCGTTACCATGGGGGGCATGTGGCCTGTCGGTGGCAAAGGCCTGAGCGGCTGGGACTGAGCCACACCCCAGGGGAGGCCCCATGAAGACTTAAGGCAACAGTCCAGCCTGTGTTTCTTCCCCGTCTCCCACCACTTTTTCCCCAGATGACGCAGAGGCTGTGGCACTCGCCAGGCTCGGTCTCGGGGCTGCTGTCCCTCACCTGTTCTGGCTTTGGTATAGTTCAGTGGGGCACATGGAGGGTGGGGGACAGATAGGTGTGAGCTGCCAGCTCACCTGTCAGTGCTTGTGGTGAGGTCCCAGGAGAGCTGCTGATGCAGAACGTGGGGGCCCCACAGCCAGGCCCATCAATCCTGTGGCTTGTGGCTGGGACTCCCAAGAGGGGAAGACCAGGAGGTGTGGACAAGGGGACCTGTCAGAATGAGCTCCGGGGCTGCGGGGGCCTGTGATGTCCGTCCCCTCATTCCTTACTCCTCTGACCCCTCCTCCAGCTCTTCTGCCCAGCACAGCTCAGGCAGAAGCTCTTAGGAGAAAGAGATTGGAAATCTGCCTCGCAAGAAAAAATAACCCCTTGTTCTCCATCTCCTCAAACTTCAGCCAGAAGTTTGGAAAGATGCAGGTGCCTTTGGAGAGGCACCAAATCATGTGAAACTTCACGATTTTCTTCCCTTCTTTCTTTCTTCAAGTCTTTTTCTCGCCGGGTGCCTCTGGTCGCCAGGCAGCCTTAGCTGTTCCAGGTGGCATCTTTGCACTGTGCATGTCTTTGGTGGCTGAAAACTTGCCCCTTCCTGCTCTCTTGGGAGAAAACACCTGCTTATTGTCTGACTCTCTCTGTTTCTTTCTCTAGCGAACAGTTGCACACAGTACAGGTAATATTTAGATATGAAACGTGCACACATGTGCTGCAGAAGGATGCAGCTGATGGCGAGTTACTAACCCAGAAAGAACAAGGGGACAGATGAGGGTGTGTCACCAGGCGTGATGACCGCCCGTCTCTCCAGGGCCTGTGTTATGGGCGGATCTAGTGCTCTATGGAGGCCTCGCATGAGGTGCACGCTAGGACAGCATGTAACTCAGGCGTGCTGTGTGTGATTCCACCACATTACCTTTCACCAACGTGAAGGTTTTATGTTTGCACCACTAAGGAAAGCTCAATTCAAACCTGAGAGTGCAGTTGGCAGTAGCGTGTTAGTGAATCACACCTTCCTGCTTGTGTGTGCAAGCACTGACTCTGCAAGCAGACAGACCTGGAGTGTGTGTCCCTGCTCTACCGCACCCCAGCTGTGTGACTTTGGGCAGGTTACTTCACCTCTCTGAGCCTAGGTTTTCACGTCGTAAAATGAGGCAAATGACAACATTTGCTTATGTTGAGGAAAAAATGAAGAAAACGCGTAGAAGACGCTTCTCCTGTGACCGCTCAGTAAATCTTAGCTCCTGCTGTTGTTGGGGAGAGCTGAGAGCTGCAGTCCACTTTGAGTGACCCGTAAGAGGATAACACTCTTAGCAAAATTCAGAGTTGAAACTTGCACCGCACACACTTGTCCTACTGATGCCACCCCCCATCCCTTCCCGCTGGGTGGCACTGACGTAGCTTCAGGGCTACCTCACGTGGGTCCTAGTTCTTATTCTCTGTGCTGGTGCATTTTCTCCTTTGGGAAAGTCCCAGGTAGTTTATCTCCTCTCGACTGCAACAATTTTACCCCCATGGAGCTTCCCTCCTGTCTGAGAAGTCGGTGTCTGGACAATAACAGGATTGAGGGGATCTGCTGGGGGCGGCGCTGCAGCAGCTAAGGAAAGGAACTGGACACTGTTCGTAGCCCTAATTGGCAAGTGACATTCTGCCAGGCCCTCTGCTGGTGTGCAGACTGGGGACCAGATCTGCTGTCGTCACAGTGCTTTCCCCACTGGGGTGTGGAATGCATCAAGGCAAGGTCAAACGAGGTACTTTTGGAAGATTGGGATAGGACTCAGGTCATTTCCAGGGTGCCTAGCCAAGCCTTGTCATGACCAGAGAACCTGTCGCTGGAACCATGGCCACTTCCTTCTCAAGATCCCCAGAGCCACAGCGGTTGCCACTGTGTGACACTAAGCCATGCCGTCACTCTTGGCTGCCAGCTGTTTCGGGTTCTTTGGTCCTGCCAAGCTTTGCTAAGTGTCCCCTCTAAGCAGCAGCCACATTTTAGACAGGGCCAGCCTTCACCTGTTGGACAAGAGGACCGAGAAGGAGACACTCCCCCCCTTGCATGGCTGAATCCCGTGAATGTTTCTGCTTCCTGGCGCTTGTGTGGCCCCTGCACTATCCTGACCCCACGTCCTCCCTCCCGTCCCTGCAGATCGTGGCCGCCATCCTGGCCATCGCCGGCATCGTGATGATGACCTACGCCGACGGCTTCCACAGCCACTCGGTCATCGGCATCGCGCTGGTGGTGGGCTCCGCGTCCACGTCTGCCCTCTACAAGGTAGGCGCGGGCAGCGGCTGCGGGCGCCAGGCCTGGTGGTCCCCAGCCAGCACAGCAGGTCTGAGAGGCAGGTCCTTTACCTTCGGGGATCTCTGACGGTGCCTGTGTTTCAGGACGAGCAGCTGTTTTTATTGCACGCCAGGCAGACGGGGACATCCGCCCGGACAGTACCAGGCAGGCAGCTGCTCCTGGCTTTGGCTCTCTGGACTTTTCCATCAGTGGCCATATGTTTGCAGCTTTGAGGTTAAAGTGGGTGGTGGCTGCTGGGTTGACAGAGTCGGAATCGTGACGTCATTGTTTGGCAGGGAAATGGAGAGGACCAGGGGCTCTAGTGTCTGCTTATTTAGGTGGCCACCTCGTGGAACGTGAAGACTTGGGTATCTGGTGCAGCTTTGTCATGCAAATCCCTGACCACACGGTTTTTGCAGCCACCAGGGCTCAGTACGAATCCACATGCATTTCAAGCATTGCCTATGGACTGAATAAATAAAAGCACCACTGCTAAAATACGGGGATGATAAAATATTTTTGACGAAATATTGGAAACCATTGGAACGCACTTCCCGGCTGCAGGTCTGAACACAACAAAGTTTTCTTGCACCTTGGGGTCCTCTGCTGTGCTCACCCCCCACTCAATCGAGCTGCTGCCTCTCCTTTCTCCCTGTCCTTAGATCCAATACTTTCAGGTCTCCAAGTTGGGAAAGTGACCTAGAGGATTCAATGACAAATTAGGTTTTAGCCTTGAGATGTACCAGCTCTTCGTGGATCCAGATGGGAGAACAGAGAGGATCAAGTACTGTAGAAAGCCCTTTTCTTCTGCTGTACTCAATTAGCAGCGTGCTAACGAGGACAGAGACACGCAGACACGCAGTCCGCAATGAACACAGCATTGAGACTCAGATGCCTGTTCCTCCTCCGCTTCCCCCTAATACTTGTCCAGAGGGACTAACAGCTGGAAGACGGAAAGTGATTTATCTCCCCTTCCACACTTCCTGCGCATATGCCAGGACATCCCAGAACAGGTCGTGAAATGGCCGAGCCAGGAGGAAGCAGGAAAAGTGGGAGGGAAAGCGTGTAGGCTCAGACTGCACCACAGCTCCCACCACGGGGCCGGCCACTCCCATCACACCTGTCCCTCTCCTCGTGGCCCTCCAAGCACCTGTTGGGACGTACAAACAAGAAAACAGGTGCAAGGTGCATTCCACTGGAGCCCGTGCCATTCTGGAGTGGGGGTGGTGGGATGCAGGAAAAATGAGCAACGTCCCTTCACTTTCCATTTATGGACTATGTCTGCAGCCACCACCCTTTCTTGGGGGGCTGATGGTTTGAAACTGTGTTGCCCAGGGTCAGGTACCAGTGTTGGGGGTCCCCGAGAGGGTATGCAGCCATGGCACACATCTCTAATTGATGTGGGGTCATGAACACATTGCAGACAAATGAAACCCAGTGTGAAAACCATGACTCTGGAAGATGCTCTCTTGCACCGGGGAGCAGTCCTCTGCAGGCAGGTTGCTGAGTTTGACATGTGCCCAGGTGAGCACAGGTCAAGCCCCATCGCCCCTCCACTGAAAGCCAGGTGAGGCCGAATGTCCCGACATGTGTCACCGCGTGTGCTGGCTTTGCTCACATCCCCGTCTGCTTTCTCCTGCAGGTACTGTTCAAGCTCCTCCTAGGCAGTGCGAAGTTCGGAGAAGCCGCCTTATTCCTGTCCATCTTGGGGGTGTTTAACATCCTCTTCATCACGTGCGTTCCTATCGTCCTCTACTTTACCAAAGTGGAATACTGGAGCTCCTTTGATGACATTCCATGGGGAAACCTTTGTGGATTTTCAGTTCTCTTATTGAGTAAGTGGCGCCCACCCTGTCCAGAGGCCCCAGAAAGCAATGACTGGACAAGGACTCTGGAAACTTGGGCCCAGAAGGAGAAAAACAGTGTTGATTGTTATCCTTAAGTTCTTGCTGTTTTTTCAAGGTCTTTGTGTTTCACAAAGTCAAGTCTTTGAAATGACAACATCAGATTCTTACTCCAGAACCATAGTCCCTGTAGTGATAACAGTGGCTCCTGCTGCTCTGAACAGTGAGGTCACAGCCCAGAGCGGTGCGGGTTACCTGCTAAGAATAGTACGTCAATACCTGCAGAGCTCTTAGGACCTTGCCCAAGTGTCAATGTCCATCCAGTAAGTGCTGTCAATTATCATTAGTATTAATGTCACCATCATCACCGTTACTGTATGTGAGTCTAGTTCTAGGCAAAGAACCCAGGAGGTGTCTCACCCAGATCCCATCTAAAAACACATATCCCAAAGCACCTGTTCTTACAGCCACCCCAGAAACACTGCCGACAACAGACAACAGCGCAGCTGGAGAGATGACGCAGTCCCCTCTTCTAGTGCCTTCTCACTGGTCATCTTTTCCAAATTTCTTTTCCCTTCATCAAAGCTCAGGGAGGAGAGAGGGGCTGAGCAGTCAAGGTATTTGTCCCTAGTCCCAAGTCCTGGAGACCTTGGAAGAACCCCCAGAGATGCTGGGGTCAGATAGGCCAGCGAGGGGGTAAAGTGCAGCACAGCCTCAAATAACACCTGTTTCTTACGTTCTTTATTTCAGCATTCAATATTGTATTAAATTTTGGAATCGCTGTTACATATCCCACTCTGATGTCTCTTGGAATCGTCCTCAGTGTACCTGTGAACGCAGGTAAACCTATACAGCTTTCTATATCTACTCGTAAACAAACACGCACACACATATACTCTCACGTTAGACACTCACATATATTTTTTCTGTGCCTAGTGTAGAATGCACGTTTAACCTTCTGCAACGAAAAGAAAAGAATTTAGGTACAATGTTGATGTTTGTTTATAGATGCAATAGTTTCCCCATAATGGAATGATTTCCATGTACCACACCAAATACAGAAGTCTAAAGCCGTCTTGATTATAACTGGTGTGGGAAAGCAGAAATCAATAACATTACTAATAAATACAGAAAATTATGTAGCAGAAAAAGAATTCATTTTTGCAAGTGACTCCCTGGGGGAGAACACTTGCTCGAGGTATGAGGTAGAAACACACTGACACGCATTTTCCTCCAAAGAACCAGAGCGCGCTTCTGCCCAGGTACTTGGGACCCTCCTCTCTTTTTCCCTGGGGACTCGTTGCCAGCGCACAGGGTTGACAGCTCTTCCAGAAGCTTGTCATCACCTACCCCTTACCTCCTTCCTTTTTCTGGCTCATGCTGGTATGAACTTTGGGCTTTCTTCCTAGAATCCCCATCCTCATGCCCAACCTCCCTGTGCCACCTGTTCTCAGCCCAGGAAGGTGGTGGACCCGTCCTCTGCAGAACACTCTCTCCCTCGGCCCAGACACACCTTCCTCCACGGCCCCCTAAGGAACCGCAAGCCCATATCCTGTGCAGTCACAGGCAAAGCAGCTCTCGCTGTGCTGAGCCTTCCCCAGGGTTTGGTTTCCTGCCCCTCTCACCCCACATGTCCCGTGTATGCCTCACCATGGCCCCTGACCCTTCCCGAAAGAGTGCCTCCTCCCAGCAGGGTGAAAAGAGGCTGGGCTGTGGCCCCAACATGGCCCACCTGGAGGTCCCACCTCACCAGCTGTCTGAGCCTGAGCTTGTCTCCCCTGCAAATGAAGGTCCTACCTCCTCTTGCTGCTTCCATGGATAGAACCGAACAAAATAATCTATGAGACAGCACTGCAAAATGCAGGAGGCCCCTGAGCTCCCGGACAGATAGTCAAATGTGCTCTGGACTCTGCAGGCTTCTGAAAAATAACTCATCCTCACAGTCCCCCACATTCTTTGCACCTATTCTAGAAAAGTCTTACATGGAAACTTACTGTGACCGCATCACATAGCCAGGCATTGGAGAGACTGATTGGAATCATTTCTCTTTGCTTTCCTACGATATAAGAGGTTCACTAATGTGTCAAAGGAAGGAGTCACATTCAATCCCTGACTGCAGGAGAGAAGCAAAGAAATCAAGGTTGTCAGATAAGCATCTGCTGAATTGACAGAATGTTTTGCCAATGTTAAAAATTAAAATATTTCTGAATTATGGTACAACTGGAGAGGCACCTTTATCCCACCAAAGTATGACTAACAAAGCTTCTTTTCAGATTTTACCTTCATCCCTCCCTTTCTCTGCTCACCTGCTAGATGAGGTGAGGGTCCAGGAGGGGTGTGGAAGGGGGACTGGAGGCGGCAGAGTGACAAGTGGCAGAGTCAGGTCACAGGCCCTGCAGACCAGCGCCCACCCCAGTGGAGAGGCAGTGGACAGGGGTCCAGGAAATCCAGTTTCAAAAGTTGCGTGCTGTAAAATCAGCAAACCTTCTTGCACAAAATGATAGAAAAGAAAAGCAACCTGTTTCTTAGGATCTCGTTTGTGCAGGAGGCAGGCTGCAAACTGGCTTTGCAGAGAGAAAGAAAGTCCAAGAAAGGAGTTTACCTTTAACATCACCATGCCTTGATCTCTGGGCTATCAAGAAAATGATGATCCGGATTTTTATGAACTGACATAAATCCCGCTTCTTATTCTGTTCCCTCGCCTGGTGTGAGTCAGGAAAAAGCACGCACCCCCGGGGGGGGGCTCGAATAAACTAACAGAAGGTGGTGACACTGGTGGCATTAACACCTCCATGAAGTGGTGCCCTAGGGTGGAATAAGAATTCTATTCATTATCTTAAAAGACCCGGTTCAAGATTGTCTCCAAAAATACATATGCACATGTTGTGGAATAATGTTAAGTGACAAAAATAAAGTGTGTCATTAGAAACAGTGTGAAGAATACCAAAAATACAAAGAAAACAGTAATATCTTCATTATCCTGCCACCCAGGGGTGGCCACAGTTAAACTTTGGTATATTTCATCCCCCTAACCACCCACCAAAAATATACATATATGTATATATGAGGGTACTTCAAAAAGTCATGAAAAAGTAGAATTATGCGATTCTTCCCATGAATGTTTTGACACAAATATAGACATATAGATAGGTATCTCCCACCCCAGCTGCCCCACGTTTATTTTTTTCTCTCACATGAATGGGTGCCTGAAGCAAGGTGCCAGGTGAGTTTTGCACGTGGGATGCACGTGCCAGGCCTCACACCAGAGGGGCTGTACAAAGTTAAGGGTGGTCACGAGAGGCAGCCCCAGCCCTCGCGTAGCACAGCTCTGCAGCAGAGGAATGTGTGGTCCGGGGCCACCCTCTGCCCCACTGCTGAGTAACCGAGCTCTTTCTCCCGCAGTGGTGGACCACTACACCAGCCAGATAGTCTTCAACGGGGTCCGGGTCATTGCCATCATCATCATCGGCCTGGGCTTCCTCCTGCTGCTCCTGCCCGAGGAGTGGGACGTCTGGTTGACCAAGCTGCTCACCCGCCTCAAAGTGAGGAAGAAAGAGGAGCCGGCTGAGGGCGGTGGGGACCCGGGCTCAGGTCCTCAAGGCAAGGCCCGGAGAGCCCGTCCTTCCCTGGCCCGCTGACTGCTCCCCCAGGACCCTGCGGCGGTGCCCTGCGGGTGCGGCTGGGAGGTTGGCAAGGTGTACATACCTGTACAGTTCTGGCGATCTGCGGTAAGCTCTACGGTATTTACTGGCATGTCCAATCCCCCTGCACTTCTCCACAGCAGACTTTCCACTCAAGGGTACCGACTGGATGCGAAGGAGCCAAGAACCTCTCAGAGCTTTCTCCATGAATGTAGAGTAGGTCACAAGGAGCCTTGTCTGGATCGTTTGGGATGACAGACATTCTTGACAAGCCAGGGCAAATGTTTTGCATCTTTGCTCCAGAAAATGACATTATACACTGTGATTATTTCTCAGCTATGGTAGGTCATATTTTGTTTTGTACCAGAGCTGTACTCTTAATTTTAGGGAATTTCAATGAACCAAAAGATAACTGTCAGTTAATTTGGATGGATGGATGGATGGATGGATGGATGGATGGATGGATGGATGGATGGATGGACGGATGGATGGACGGACGGACAGACGGACTGACAGATGGCTGGGATGGAAAAAGGAGAAGCAGAACAGGCTAATGGACATAAAAAAACCACTGGAGGACAGACCTGTGCTAGGGAACAGCAAGAGAAAGATACGTCCAAGATAACCCACATGCCTGCAGAAGATCATGTGAGGGAAATTCCAGTGCCTTCTACAGAATTTTTGTCTTTACCTATGTGAAGCGAGGTGACATTATAAGTCACTGGCGCCGTCTTATAATTTAGATGTAAAAACCTTTAGAAACAAATAAAACTATATATGTGTGTGTACAGAAATGAGGAAACTGATAAGCAGCGTATTTGGGATGGGCTCGCGGGGTACAGATGCTTGTAAGGTAGACTGGGCCAGAGGGGACTCGCTGGTTGCTTTTCCTTCAAGACCAAGGCTGAAAATTTATTTACTGAATCTGTAAACCTTTTTATGAAACTTTTAAGCACCAGGCTGTTTACTCAACACCATTTAGGTCTGCCAGAGAATTCTATCTGTGATAGATCTGTAAAGAGGGGCGGGAGTTAGAGTTTCCTATTTTTGAAGTTTACATTGTCACATATGAAATGGGAACATTACTTGGAAAAGTCGTCATAATCCAATGGTGCATTCTGTCACCATGGAGTCTTCTGTTTCCCAGGGGAAAGGGGCATTCATGACCTGAACTTTTTAGCAAATTATTATTCTTGGTTTCCATTTCCTGTTTGGCCAAACAGATTAATAAAATGTTTGCAAAAGAAGCGTGCAGTGCTGTGTGGTGGCTGCTCTGTTTATTCCCGGTCCCACGGGTCCCTGTGCGGCAGGCACAGCTTTCTGGTTCTCACTCACCTTAGCCATCTCCTGCACCTACAAGGCAGGTGAGCCCACCCCACTCCCCCATGGAAGGACACTCTTTCTCGAAGGACGGAGCTGACTTTTGCAGAAGCGAGATGCAGAGCGATCGGCCAGGCCCCACTGATGCAGCGGCTTTTCCTTCATCCTCCCGCCTGTCTTTTCCCCTCTGCTCGGCTCTGCCTGGGCTTCCTACCCCTCTTTCCTTTCCAGAGGGGTTCCTGGGCTCAGCTTGCACTGGTCTCTCGTAGCTGCCCCAGAGTGGCAGCCCAAGTCCCTACACCCACACGGCCTCCCAGCTCAGCTCCCACTGCTGCCTGCCTGCCTGCCTCGGGCGTCCTCCCCTCATATACAGAATGGGATTCACTGCTTTGGCCAGGGGCTAGGAGATCCCACGAGTCTCATTCTAGGGCTGCAGAGGGCTGGGCTCTTTACCACGCAAGTGTGAGCAGAGAGGAAGTGAGGGCCCGTGTAGTGCCCCTCACCCCATCCCCCACACCTGCCGCACGTGTGTGAACTACCTAGAGGGGTTCATGCACCACTCACCATGTGGTGGGCTCTAAACCTAGAGAACCTAGGGTCCAGAGCAGAGAGCTCTCCCACCCTATGTGTCCAGGTGTGTGCTGGGAGGGGAGGCCTGGGCTGCAGGACCCTGGACCGGTCGCCTCCACCACCCCAAACCTCTCCACTTACCCCAGGGAGCCAAACAAATATTTCCTTTGTAATTAATATCATGAAAAAGTTGGAAAGCTGTACCCTAGAGTAGATTTATCTCATTCTCCCAATGAGCATAGAGACTATGAAGGTCCAAAGGAATTGGAAGCAGGGACAAAAACAGATATTTGCACACCCATGTTTATAATATTATTCCCAACAGTGATAGGGGCAGAAGCAACCCAATTGTCCATCTACAGATGAATGGATAAACAAAATGTGGTCTGCCCACACAGTGGAATATTATTCCACCTTAAAAAGGAAGGAAATTCTGACACATGGATGAACCTTGAGGACATTATGCTCAGTGAGATAAGCCAGTCACAAAAGGACAAACACTTGTGATTCCACTTATATGACGTTCCTAGAGGAGTCACAATCAGAGAGACAGGAAGTGGAATGGTGGCTGCCAGGAGCTGGGGGACAGGAGAATGGGGAGTTAGTGTTTCATGAGGACAGAGTTTCAGTTTGGGGAAGATGAGAAAGCTCTGGAGGTGGACAGTGGTACTTAATGCCACAGAAGATATGCTCAAAAATGGTTAAAATAGTAAATTTTACATTATATATATTTTACTACAAAGAAAAAGACTACAAAGGGTAAGGTATGTGAAATAAAAAGGTTAAAACTCTCTGTGCTCCTTTCAATACATTATCCACCTGAGCTCCAGTGAGGGTGGAAGTGGATTGGGAGATTTCTTTCTAGAAAGAATACAACCACCACCACCACAACCACCACCACCACGCCACCCACACACACACAGAGGAAGGCTTTGAGCACTGAGTTGTGCTGCAGCAAACCTGGACGGGACCCATACATAGAAAATTCTAGAAAGGAGTTGCTGCTGATGGAACCACGGAGTGGCTTTGGGAAGCAGCCTCCATCTCTGCCCTACCTGGGGAATTGTCTGCCTTCTAGAGGCCAGTCTGGGTAGCAATTAAAGGAGGTTTCTATTGTGGCTCCTTTCAGAGAACCAAGTGACAAGAAATCATGGTCAGAGACTGTATTAGTCCATTTCTGTTGCTTATAAGAAAATACCTGAAAGTGGGTGATTTATAAGAAAATGAAATTTATTGCTTACAGTTTTGGAGGCTGGGAAGTCCAAAGACTAGAGAACACATTCAGTGAGGGTCTTAGTGCTGGTGACAGTGACCCAGGGGTCTCACATGGTAGAAATGGTGGAGCATAGAGAGAGAGAGACCTCTCATGTACTCTTCTTTTAAAACCTCAGAACCACGCCCCTGACCACCATTACTAATCCATTCACTATGGCATGGTCTTACAATCTAATCACCTCTTCAAGGCCCCACCTTTCAATGACCATAATAGGATTTCCCACCCTCTTAACAGTGTCACAGTGAGGACTAAGTTTGGGGGAGACACTCAAACCAAGGGAGAATAAAAATTGGATTATTTTACCAAATCTACTTCTACCACTTACACTGCTAATTAAACCATCCCAAGATGTTGATTTATATTAGAATTTAGAAAATACATGGAGATGAATGAAAACAAAACCCAGCGTACTAAAATTTAAGAGATGCCACAAAGACAATGCTCAAAGGGAAATTTATATCTGTACACACCAACATCAAAAAAGAAGAAAGATCTCAAATCAATAACCTTACCTTACACCTTGAGAAACTAGAAGAATAGCAAACCAAACTCAAAGCTAGCAGAAGGAAGAAATAATTAAGATTAGAACAGAAGAAGCATATAAAAGGATTATACACATGACCAAGTTGAGATTTGTCCCAGAAATGCAGGCATGGTTCTGCATAAGAAAAACATAAGGAAAAAGGCCTAGCAAGCATATTTAAAGAAATAATGGCTGAAAATTTCCAAAGTACAAAGAAAGATGACAATACTTAGATACCAGAAGCCCAGAGGTCACAAATCAAATTCAGCCCAAAGAGGAATTCCCCAAGGCACCTCATAATCAAATTATCAAAAACTAAAGACAAAGAAAGAATACTAAAAGCAGGAAGGAAACACACACACACACACACACACACACACACACACCATTCAGTGCAGCCACAATCTGGCTTTCAGTGGATTTGTCAGCAGAAACCCTACAGGTCAGGAGAGAGTGGGATGATCTATTTAAAGTGGTAAAGAAAAAAGACTCTTAACCAAGGATATTGTACCCAGCAAAACTAACCTTCAGATATGAAGAAATGAAGACTTCCTAGACAAACAAAAGCTGAGAAAATTTATCAACACTGATCTTACAAGAAATCCCAAAGGGAGTCTTTCAATCTGAAAAAACAAAACACTAATGTATAACAACAAAATATCTGAAAGTATAAAACTCACTAGTAAAATAAGTACACAGACAAATTCAGAATACTCTAATGCTGTAAGTATGGTGAGTAAACCATTTATATCTTTTGTGTGAAGACTAAAAGACAAACCCATTGAAGATAATAAAAGCATTAAAGATAATAATAATGTTAAAGATAATAACACATCAACTGTATAAGAGATAGGCAATATAAAAAGGTATAACTTGAAATGACAAATTGTCAAAAGGTGAGGGGCAGAAATGACATCAAAATGTAGTCTGCTTTGGTGTCTTTTCTTAGCAATCAAAGTTGTTATTAGTTTAAAATAATCTCATATAACTATAATTTGTTTTTTCAAGCTTCATGGTAACCCTAAAGCAAATGCCTATAATAGATATACTAAAAGTAAATAGAGTGAAATCAAAATATACAACTAGAGAAAATCACTTAATCACAAAGGAAGATAGTAAGAGAGAGAAAAGAGGGGAAAAAAGACCTACAAAAAACCAGGAAACAAATAACAAAATGGCAGTAATAAGTCCTTATCTATAATAATCTCTAAATGTAAATTGATTAAATTCCCCAATTAAAAGTCACTGAGTGACTGAATAGATTATAAAACATGAACCAACAATATACTGCCTAGAAGAAACTCACTTTACACCTATAAAGACACTCATAGACTAAAAGTGAAGGAATGGAAAAAGATGATCTATGAAAATGGAAACCAAAAAAGAGCAGGAGTAGCTATACCTATATGAGAAAAAATAGACTTCAAGTCAAGAGCAGTAAAAATAAGACAAGGAAGGTTATTATATATAATGTTAAAGGGATCAATTCAACAAGAGGATATAACAATCCTAAATATATATGCAACCAACACCAGAGTATCCAGATGCATAAAGCAAATATTATTAGATCTAATGGGAGGGATAGACTCCATTACAATAATAGTTGGGGACATTAACACCCCACTTTCAGTAATGAACAGATCATCCAGACGGAAAGTCAACATCAGAGTTAATACATCAGAGTTAATATCCAGTTTAAACCAATTTGACCTAAGAGACGTTTATAGGATTCCATCCAATAGCTTCAGGATACACATTCTTCTCAGCAGCACATGGAACATTCTCTAGAATAGACCATATATTACACCACAAAAAGAAGCCTTAAATTCAAAAAAGTTAAAAACATATCAACTATCTTTTTCAACCACAAGGGAATAAAACTAGAAATCAATAACAGAAAGAATACACAGAAATTAAGCAACATGCTCCTAAACAATGAATGGGTCAAAGAAGAAATTAAAAAGGAAATTAAAATATTCCTGGAGACAAATGAAAATTAACTACACAACATACCAGACCTATAAATTACAGCTAAAGCAGTTCTAAGAGGGAAGTTTATAGTAATAAATGCCTGCATTGAAAAAGTAGAAAGACTTCAAATAAACAACCTAACCTTATATGTCAAGGAACTAGAAAAATGAGAAGAAACCAAATCTGAAATTAGTAGAAGGAGAGAAATAACAAAGATCAGAGTAGAAATAAATGAATTAGAGATTTTAAAAACAACACAAAAGATCAATGAAACAAAGAGTTGTTTTTTTGAAAAGATAAAATTGATAAACCTTTAGGTAGACCCACTAAGAAAAAAAATAGAGAAGAAAATAAATAAAATCAGAAATGAAAAAGGAGACATTACAACTGATACAACAGAAATACGAAGAATCACAAGAGACGATTATGAACAACTATACACCAACTAACTGGAAAATCTAGAAGAAATGGATAGATTCCTGGACACATACAACTTACCAAGGTTGAATCGAAAGAATTAGAAAACCTAACTAGACCAATAAGTAATGAGATAGAAATGGTAATAAAAAGTTTACCATCCAAGAAAA